TACCTTCCTTTATGGCTGATTTTACTCCCATTTTAGTACATTTTTATTTTTAATATTTTTTAATAAAGTTTATTCATTTATTCCATTTAATATTTTTACAGATAGGCATTTTACATATTTATATAAGTGCTGCAGCACTTTCTGTACATTGATATTTATAAAGTAAAAATGTTTTAAATTATTGGCAAAGGACATATTCCTGCTGGCTTCTTAAAAAAAAAGGCACAAAGACCCCTCCAAAGGTCCCCCAAAATACTGCTACGTATCTTGGTGGACCTTTGGAGGGGTCTGTGTGTATGTTTCTAGTTCTTGAGTTCCCCCCTTCTCCACCTTTGAGTCTGGTCTGTATTTAAAGGGGGATCCCCACAAAAAAATGTATAGGGGCTCCCTAAAAATCCATACCAGCTCCTTAATCCAAACATGCAGCCTGTCTGTCCATGAAAGGGAAGTATATGCCCCCTCCATAACAATAACAGGTTTAAGTGCCCTCAACATGGGAAGGTGTCTTGTATATCCATTGCCAATCATGATGCCCACTGCTAGTCAACTCTCTGAAAGAAAAAAACAGAAGAACCTGGTGCTACTTCTCATCAAATGACAGTTCTATGAATCATCAGCTATATAAGAGAAGGGACAGTGATAGTGTTGACATTGACTAAATATGGCCAGAATCATACTTGATCAATGTCATTGCACAAATATGGCCAGTGGCAATATTTAAGCAGGGATGTCACAGCTATCCTTGCCCCTTTGTTTACATTCCTGGGATTACTGGCCATAAAAGTCAATGGTGCCGGTGATGTCATTGTTTGCTAGCATCAAAACAGAGGCCAGAATCTGTTGCTTCCTTAGCAACCATTGACAGAAATACCACTTAAATATATTATTGACTCAATTCTAGTGGACATGCTATACAGCCACATCACAAGCAAGACAATTGAGGATGGCAAAGATAGCACCATGATCATAAAAGGGAGGCAATATCAGGCAGAGGGCACCAAGAGGTAGTAATGTTCTTACTGCAAAGTGGGCCCCAGCTCTGAAGACTGGGTGAATGATAAGGTGATAGATAATCCTATCTGTGGGTGCTACTGATTACAGAGGAGGAAAGATCTGATGAAGTTGCAGAATATCACTGAGAGAAGGTTTTGTACTTTGGTGGGGTAAACTTGCAGAGGACTGGAGAGAGCAGCCATCCTAACCAATCTACATACAATGCAATGAAAGCACCAAACAAATACTAAAGAGTCCAAGGTAATTTAATGATACATTGAATTCATAGCAGAATAGCGCCAAAGTGTTTCAGTGGCCAAAACCCCCCCCCCTTCATCTGGGCTTAAGAAATCTGAGTGTGTCAGTTGTGGTAAAAGTACCAGCCATTTTGGGACCACATGCATGAGGAAACATGACTCTGCACCACAGGGAGCAGCACTTCAATGAGACAAGTCAGCAGTAAAAAATTGCTACCTCTTCCCCTCTTCCTTATCCTCATTCCTTACATTCTGCATCTGCCCCATTCCCACAACATTCTCTGCTGCAAAAAAAAAACTGAATTTTGGTGAATGGGAGGAAAGTCTTACAAGAGGCTTCAGATTCTTAAGATACACCACATTAAGCAGCGAAGGGAGACATGTGGATAAGCTGAGAAAAGTCAAGTGAATGCTTGAATCTCTGCTTTAACAACTACTAGCTGAAAAATGGTAACATCATAGACATTACTGACAAAGGGATCCTGTGTGGCCCGGAAACATTGCACGTTAACAATGTGATGTGATCACTTGAATAAAGGTTTGGACAATATCTCAAAAATCCATAGTGTTTCGGCATTATATATGGCACTTTAGCATAATGCACCTTGGTTTCCAGGAAGTTCTTTGTCAGACCTGAAAGGTTTACTGCCACTTGGGCATGTACTAATAATTTACATGAATAGTGTTTATCTGGCAGAAATTCAGCACTGATATTAGCATCCTGCCACCTGTCTCATCTGTGACGGCAGTCTCACAAGCTCTAACTCATGTCTGGCCACACTGCAAAGGCTGCAGCAGCATGCCAGCAATAAGTACTTGTGTGGCTATTGTAAAAGCACAGACTCTGGGTAGCTGGGGTTCTTTTTGTCACATCAGTGGCTCATCTATCATGAGTTATGCAACATTTTGCCACATTTTGAAGAGGCAACTAAAGAATCTTGACAATGTGGGGTTTACAATCCCTCTTGTGTTCTTCCTGGAGCATACACTCCATAGCCTAATAGTGTGGGCACTGAAGGCACAGTAGCAGGTGGAAACAAAAGGTATTTTTGCTGTGTCAGGGTCAGAATGATCTGTTACCTACTGCTTCTATCCCTGTGGTGCAGAAACAGCAAGAGGCAGGGGAGAAATATGAGGAGGAGGGTTATGGTGCTGGTGATGAGGAAGGGGATGAAAAGTAGGATGCTTCAAGGGGGGTTTTTCACCCCTTCCAAACCTCAGGAGTATGTGGGTGGGTTTAAATTGTTGAGGACAGTGTTGTTATCTGAAAAAGGACGCGTGGTTCTCTGCCATGGGCAATATGTGATGAATGGGGTATTTTATGTCAAATGTAGGGATAAGCCAATAGTTTTTTTTTTTCCCATTCAACCTCTTGTTTGGCAGTAGCTGAGCATCAGTGGTAAAAATACCACTTCTATATATGACAGCTGCCTGCTGTCAATAGTGCTGACACCTGCTGCATCCCTGGAAACTGCCGCTATCAACAGCCCCAGCCACATAAGCAAAGGAGAAGAGCATATAACTGGCATCACTGCCAAGATTTAGTCACTAGCCATATTTAGGCAACAACAAAAGTCCCCCATGCCAGTCCCTGGCTCCCTATGCCCCTTTTTGTGACAATTGCTTTCCTATTAGCCTTAATAATTGCAAGAATGTATTATCAATATAGGTTTCACTGCTGAGTTCAGGTTTTGAGGATTTCAAACAGGATTTGCTGAACCATCAACCAGGGGCGGACTGACAATTCATGGGGCCCCCAGGCAATAGGGGATCATGGGGCCCCTGTGTCCTTGCCCAAACTCAAAAAAGCCTATGAAAAAGGTACTAGGGGCATCTCATGGGGCCCCCTACTGACCACGGGCCCTCGGGCAGTGCCCAAGTTTCCAAATGGTCAGTCCACTCCTGCCCTCAACAAATCTAACCTGGACAGATTTGCCTATCCCTACCCCAGGCATATACAGTGTATACCCACGGAAACCAAGCCAGTTGTATATTTTTAGAATGGATTTGACTGGCTTTAAAAACAGCAATAGGCCTAATAATATACAGTTTTTTTTTAATGAATAAATCACCATTACAACATGTTTGCTTATACTGAGCATGCGAAACACCATAAAAATACATTCAGCTTCACCAGACTATAGTGTTTCCTTATCCTCTATTTCACACTGCTTTATATGTCAAGTTAAGGAATTTCATGAATTGCTTTTTAATTGTGCTTTGAGCAGCTTGGATCATTCTGTGCATTGATAAATTCTGCCTTTGTAACAGATTGACCTTCACCCAGCATCTTCCAACAATAGAGCTTATTTTCATGTGATTTGCATGTGATCATCTTCTTTTTGAATTGAAAATAATTGCAGCACTGCATGTGTGCTCCAGTTATCATGATGAGCCCTCCTATTCTCAGATTAAGGACAGAGACAAGAGGGCAAGTAATGACTGAAATTCTTACCTCTAATTATGGATTCAGTTTTTAGATTTCAAATTATGGAAGATTGTTAACGTCTGATGCATTTTTTCATTATTTAATGAAAAAAAATTACAATATTTTATCATTTTATCCATGTCTACCAGCTGGATTTTCATTTGTTTCTGCATGTACCTATATTTAGAATATCATTCTGATTATAATAAAGTTATACATTACATTAAAAACAATGGTGTCACAGTTCCCCTAACATGTTCAGCTTAATGAGGTACCATATCTACTTTTTTTACACTGAGAACATTTAGACTAACGAAAGCTAATGAATGAAATGAATAAAAACAAATAGAATATCCTTAATATTGGATTTATAAATTAAATAAAGAAAATATTATACTGAAAACAAGATATAAAACACAGAATAGAATGCTAGATAGATGTCCAAAGAATGAGACTATTCAAGACAGTATCCATATAGCACCAATAATAGTGGGAGAGACAGGGACAGTGCTTCTACTAGGCAAACTAAGCAGCCGCCTAGAGCACACTGCCACCTAGGAGTGCCTGGGTGCAGCACAGGCTGGCACTCTCTCTGTGTGGGACTCCGCCACATCATGAATGATCACTCAGTTGAGGGGAGGGGCAGCAGAGAGGGAGGAAGAAAAAACATAGGAAGATGCTGGTGTTTCTTGTGCCTGTGTAGCAGCTGAGCTGCAGCTCCTTCCAATGTTCCTCACAGACTCACTGCCTTACTGCAAACCAGCTCGTGGCTGTTGATCACTGTGGAGTTCCAGGCCCTCTCTTCCCATTCATCAGTGGAGACAGAGCTGCTCCTGTGGAGGAAGGTAATGTCTGACTCTGATGCCTCCTGTCTGTGTGAGTGTGACCAGGCTGGCCATCACATGTGCAATGTGTCAGTGAGTAATGACATCATCTTCATGCTCTTCAAGTGCCTGCTGATCTGTGTCAATGTTGGTGGTGGTGTGTGTGTGTGTTGTGTCAGATCTGTCACTGCGTGGAATCGCTCAGTTCAGGTGTTCTCTCTGTGTGTGGCCTGGGCTGCTTTCTGTCACAGTGTTTTATCTCCCCCCATTGCCTGGGGAATTCCAGCCTGGGATCTGTCATAGCTATCTTATGGCACTTATTTTTGCAAATTAAAGAAATTTAGCAGGTTCATTTTTTGTTGATTTAATATTTTCTACCGGTTCTTATTTTTAAATTGTTTTATTTTTTAGGGGGGGGGGCACAAGTAGCTTCACATGCTGCCACCTCAATGAAAATGATCAACATTTTCATCCCATCTGACTGGATTTTTTTTTTTTCAGGTTAACCTCAAGAAAATCAAATGAGCATGATTAAAACATGCCACACAAGAACACTAATTTACAAAAAAATCTGAGAATCGTCACACAATGAATTGTGTGAATATTCACATGAATTGTTCAGTCATAGAAAAAACAAATTCCTATTTATCTAATTCATATGCACATAATTGGGTAATTGCAGTTAACATTTACACAATTTATTTTGTGAGTATTCTCAAATCCTTCAGTAAATCAGCCCAAATGAGCTTTCATAGATTGTCAAAAAGAAAATAGCATTATCAAACAAACTAAAGTGTGTATAGGCAACTTATGTTCTCTGTTTATTTACTGCAAACAGTCCCAAAACCTCCACCTCTGAAGCCAGACACAAGGTAGGTGTAGAGTTTAGTGCTGCAACCCAGGGTACTGATCCAAAGCTATACTAATCCAATATATGAAGGCATGCATCCAACATACTGTACACTCACTGGCCACTTTATGAGGTACACCTTGCTAGTGCCAAGAAAATATCTCCTACACCATTACACCACCACCAGCAGCCTGAACCATTGATGGATTCATGCTTTCATGTTGTTTTACACCAAACTCTGACCCTTCATAGCCTTCATAGCAGCTAGTCTGCCCATTCACCTCTGACCTCTAACATCAACAAGGCATTTTCGTTCACACAACTGCCACTCACTGGATATTTTCTCTTTTTCAGACCAATATCTGTAAATCCTAGAGATGGTTGTATGTGAAAATCCCAGTAGATCAGCAGTTTTTTAAATACTCAGACCAGCCAATCTGGCACCAACAACTTTGCCACATTCAAAGTCACTTAAATACCCTTTCTTTCCCTTTCTGATGCTTGGTTTCAACTTCAGCAAGTCCTCTTCACCATGTCTAGATTACCTGCATTTAGTTACTGCCAGGTGATTGGCTGATTAGAAAATTTGTGTTACCAAGCAATTGACCAGGTGTATCTAATAGAGTAGCCAGTGAGTGTCTGTCCTTGCTAGAATATAGCTTTGCTTAGTACAACTGGTAAAGTTACAGCAAGAGAAGCCTTCATGTTTTGGCAAAGAGCATTAGTCATAGCATACTTTAAAACAAAGTTTGGATTTCCGGTTCCATCACCATATGTGAAGGCAGGGAAACTCATTGGTTCCATCCAAGCCTGCAACAAACCAACTTATAAATCTCAGAGATAGCTCTCACATTACCAGATCTCCCTCTGCTGAGGCAAGAGAACAACTGCATGGAACAGTTCCTCACTCATACCTGCCTCTATTTGTAGTCTCTGCCTCACAGCACCTCTCCTCCAGGCACTCTTCGGCATTCTGGCTCTCTGTATTTTAATTATACAAAATATTTTTTCTGTAGTTCTCCTGGCATTGTCTGATGCAAATTTATGCTTGGTGTGTGTGGATGTTGGTGCATATGGTAGCCAAGGAGATGCACGCATCTTCAGAGACTCTTCCTTGGGATGTTGCCTGCACACAGGACGCCTCAACATTCTGGGAAGTAGGCCTCTACCAAGCACACTGGAGCCAAGTCTGCCAATGGTAACTGTTGTGGATGAGGCTTTTGGATTAGCTGAGAATTTAATGCAGGCATACAGTGGTTTTGGACTCAGTCACATCCAGAGAATATTTAATTATAGTCTCAGCCGTGCTCGGTGTGTGGTATAATGTGTCTTTGGCATCCTTACAGCAAAGTGGAGAGTACTTCTCTCATGTATGCAGATGGATGTCAAGAATGCCATAAAAGTGGTACTTGCATGCTGTGTTCTTCACAATTTTCTTAGGGAAAAGGAGGCAAGCACTGGAGATCAAACACCAGCAAATCCAAGTCAGCATGTACAGTTCATGGACTTATGAGTAACTGGATGGGTCATGACTATTCGTAACCAGTTTGCTGAATTTTTTGTTTTACCTGATGGCGAAATGTCATGGCAGGATCATTATATTTAGATATTTCTTTGGTTTGCACTTTTGCAACAGACTTTCCAATGTACAGTTTACGTTAAATAAAAATGTTATAACTTATCTTTTGTGACATTTTTTTTTCTCTCTCTCTCTAAATTTTTTTTGAATTTCAAGGGGTGAATTGTGATAGCAAACTCCAAAAAAAATTGTTAACTTTGTATCTGCGGGTGACTCAGACATACAATTGCCCATGATAACTGCATATCTCAGCAAAATGCAGGTGGCCACATGTTCACTTTGGGTCTACATATAGCTCAGCTATGCAGTTAGCCTTTGAAAAATGGCCGCATGTTCACTTAGCATCTGCATGTGACTCACTTAGGCATTTGGCCATGAAAATTGCATATTGGACCTACACGCAGGTGGCCATATGTTCACTTTGCCTCTACATATAGCTCAGTTATGCAGTTGGCCTTTGACACATCCCACAATTCCTCATGTGCTTGTATAGCACATATGAGCTCAGTTTGGGAGAGGTAGGTAGCCATCCTTCTCTGTCCAAGAACTGAAAACAAAATGGAGATGAGCCCAGCCTGAACAAACAAAGGACACTGTGTCACTTCCTGTTTTGCACAGTGCTGTAATCTGAGATGCTAGGACTGCAAAGGACAATGGAAATGACTCTGCGGGAGGTCACTACTTCACTTTCTGTTTTGCAGGCAGCTCTGTAATCTGAAACACTAGGACTGCAAAGGACAATGGAAAAGACTCAGCAGGAGGGCACAGTGTCACTTCCTGTTTTACACACAGTTCTGTAATCTGAAACACTAGGACTGCAAAGGACAATGCAAAGGACTCACCAGGAGGCACTGTGTCACCTCCTGTTTTACACACTGTGCTATAATCTGAGACAATAGAAATGCAAATGACAATGGGAAATAACTCTGCAGAAGCATGTAGTATGTCAACAAAGCCAAATAAAGAGAACAAAGCCAAAAGAGCTGCAAATAAACTTTAGTATGATCTGGTTACATGTAGGACATGTAGAAGCAAGAGCACCTCAAACATAATCTGGAAAAGCAGTAATAATTTTCCTTTTCCAGACAATCTCCCTACTGCACAATTTACAAAACCACAAAGTATCCTCTCTGTTGTTCTCACTAGACGCTGAAAACGTGTTTGAGTGTATCCACTGGGGATTCATGCAAAAAACCTTACAACAATTTGGTATTTCAGGATGGATACGATTGGCAATATTATCTATTTATTCTTTCCCATCCACCAAAGTTTTAATAGATGGTATACTTTCAAGCTCCTTCAATATCACAAATGGAACCAGTCAAGGTTGTGCTTTATTCCCCCTAGTATTTGCATTGCTAATAGAACCACTTGCTACAAAAATAAGATAAGACCCACTAGTAACAGGTATAAATCTCAATGATCATGAACACAAAATCAGTCTATATGCAGATGACATCATCTTAATGGTGACAAACCCAACTAGATCCTTGTATAGAATCAAAGAACTCCTGAATCATTACATCAAAGTCTCCTATTACAAACTTAACAAATCCAAATCCCTAATTCTCAATTTATACACCCCTAGGCAGACACAAATCTAACTATCTAAATAACTACCCTATCTCTGGACAACACAATCAATCCCATACCTAGGAATCAATTATGACCCCATCCCCATCCCAATTATATGATCTCAACTATAAAACACTTCTACAGAATCTCCCCATAGAGATATCTGCCTTACAAACATTTGGACTCTCCAAAATGGGCCTTATAACAGCTTTAAAAATGATAATTCTACCCAGAATCCTTTACCTGTTTAGGACATTACCCGTATATATACCCATGAACTTCTTTCATGCAGGTCAGAGATGCTTCTCTAAATTCATATGGGTGTCCAAAAGACCTAGATGCTCCAATAACTTGCTTATACGGCCCTATAACAAAGGGGGCAAAAGCCTCCCTCACCTGCACACATACTACCTAGCTACTCTACTAGACCAGACCTACTTTTGGTGGCATCCATCTACACACAAAAAACTGGTCACTATTAGAAGCTACTTTCTTTCATCCCAGCACACCACAATCATACCCTCCTTCTCCTATCCACCGGCAGAAAGCTTCCAACTCACACTCACCCCTGCATCAAATCCTCAGATGCATGGTCAATCCTATTTTCCCTTCATCCTACCAAATCTAACAAGATCCACATCCCCCTTAAAAACCTCACAATTTTAATTCCTGACTTAGACTTACACTCTTGGAAACAACGAGATATCATCCATATATCGGATATTTTTTAAAACCATACGTTGGCCACCTTACATCAACTACAACGATTCTTATTATCTCCCCAAGACAAATTAAAAATTTTTAGAATTTCACACTGTGAAAAGTAACAATCTTCCATACACTACCACACTACCTGTCTCAGCCCATCTTTTTTTAAACAGATCTCCCTATCCGGGTAACGGCATATCTCTATTTTACTCATATATTTTGGATGCTAGACACATCCTCAAAACAACTTCATTGGGAAGCCTTATTATCCCAAAAGATCACAAGCCAAACCTAGCAGAGAACCTTTACTGCCTTGTACAAAGCCTCCTGCTGTGCCACACACTGAGAAGCCTACATCAAACTCCTACATCAATGGTACCTAACACCAATTAAATTGTCAAGAATATACCCCACAACTTCACCCCGATGTTGGAGGCTATTGGAAAACCAGGATCCTTGCTCCACATTATTTGGGCCTGTAAGTCAATCAGATCTTATTGGAATAACATATTCAATCTAATCTCAGAAATTTCTGGCACTGTAATTCCCCCTAATCCGGACCTAGCAATTCTCCATATAGGTATTGACAAATTCTCCCCAGAAATTCAGACCATCATAATCCACCTCCTCTATGCAGCTAAAAATAGTATAAAGACCCTATGGAAAACCACAGAGTCCCCATCCTTAACAAGAGTGGTCGCAAATCTCAACTTTCTATGTGAAATGGAAAAGAGATTTTCTCTATCCCATCTATCTTACCACAAATTTCATAAAGCCTGGCACCTATGGGCACTGCATCCTAAATGTACAGTTAAAATTTGATGGCACTTACTCTTTTGGAATGTATTAATTAATATGGAAAAATATTATCACAGATATGTTGTTTTATGGTTAACTACTCTCCGTGTTTCCTCCCCCCTTCCCCCCCCCCCCCACT